TATTAAAAGCAAAACAAATATCTGTATGCTTCTCCTATACAGCTTTTAACTGTATAAAATGCACATTTGTCATAGGTACGTAGGGTGGTTAAGGTAGATAATTCATGGCTGGAGCATTTAAGATTTTGGGTATTTATTACTAAAGGATATCTAACAACCGTATTGTGTATTCCAGAGTACTCTCCTTGCTGTATGCTGGATTCCTCTCAGCCACTCTCATTTTTATATATCTATAGGGCTGTCTGCTATGCTATCTGTTCATTCTTTATTTGGTTAATTAGATTTGTTGTTACAGTTTCTAGTTGAAGTGATTCCTAAAACCTTGTAAAATAATCTGTTAAATACACAGAAGCATTGTGGTAGGCTTTGCCTGGTGTCTTGTCCTATGGCACGGACACCCATAAGGGAGTCTGAGACCCATAAGGGTCTGAGAAGGGCCACATGACTCTCATAAGGTGATTAAAGTATCGAGAATAAGAAGTCTCAAGCAAAAGCTAATGTAGAATCAAGGGGGTTTGTTTGTTTGTTTGTTTGTTTTTTCTATTGGCAGTAGTTTGATTTAAAGCAGCTGTAGGTCCCTCATTTATTTATTTAGTTAGTTAGAACTAGTAGCACTTTCTTGTGGCTAGACAAAGGGTTTGCAGAGGTTTTATAGAAAGGTAATCCCTCTCTTTTCATGCATAGTCTTATTGATAATATTAAAAAAATATATCCTTCAGTTTATCGATTTGGCAACAGAAGATTACTCAGTTCAGAATTTTTAATGCAAAAATTTTGTCCAGAAGCAAAATGTAAAATAAATTTCCAGAATATTTTCAAGAGAACAAAACTATTTCGATGTATCATTAAGCTTGTCTCTTCTTTGTGTTAGTTATCACATTTTTTTCCCTGTTAAGTTTCATAGAATCAAAGATTGTAATACTTTCATCATATTACAGTTAAAAATTTCTTAGACAGTAGGAATAAGAATACTAATATTGTCGGAGACTCAAATATGGAAATAGGGTATTAATCACATTTCATGTAAATTGCAGAATGTAGGCTATTGAGTGAGATTAGAAGCTATGTCTCATTATAAAAGCACTATATCAGAAAAGAACATTCTCTTAAGTAGTTTTTGCCTGTATGTAAGGATTTTTTACTATTGTTTTCTAATAAGCCATCTGTCATTCAAAGAGAAAAGTCTTAGATGTGGGAAGTGAGGGGATACGGAGGAACCAAAGGGCTTAAGGGTGTTCAAATGACATCTGAGTTTATCTCTGAGGTGCATCAGAGGAATTGGAGCAGAGAAGATTTTGCAGAATACTTACTGAAAATTTGGTCATTGTTTTCTGCAGAAATACACGTGTGCTCTCAGCTTAAGCCAATGTTTTCCATTTTCTTGAAATTTGGATCCTTCTTTTAGCTCATTTGTGTCTTGGTCTCTAAGATGTCATCACCCTTGCAGTCTCCAATGCCTGCGGTGAGGGCTGTTGCCTTTCACAGCCAGGCAGGGCAGCAGGCACTGGGTGAGGGATGGACACAAGTGTTGGCACTCCGGTCCCTGTCCTGCAGGAGCTGAACTGCTATCAGCACTTAGAGATAGCTTTCAGTTCCTCACTCACACTAGCTATCTGGAATGCAAGAACAATCTTCTTTATAAAAGTTGGGCATCTTCAAATTAATGGTTTTCCAAGAGTTAAAGGTAGTTAGTGGTTTCCTAGTTAATTCCCCAACACTTTCAGGTATTGCCTCTTCTCAGTTCTCCACCACGGAGGAACAGAGCTCTAGCCTTCTTGCCTGAAAATGTTTAGATAAGCATGCCTTCTTTAGTGCATTTTAACTCCCTCTGAGCCTTTTTGCACAGCTTCCTTTTTGAGGAAAGTAGACTTTGAGGAATCATGTGCGAATCAGTAGCTTTCCAGGGGAATTACAAGAATACCCAGAAATACTTGCTTTCATTATCACTGTCTTGGCAGTACTGCTGAAGTATATCCTCACTTGGTGCCAGTTACAAGCAAAAGTTCATTTTTATTTGACACTTCAGATCAACAACTTCCCAGGTTTAATGAAGTATTTTGAAATCCTCTAAAAATGTGTTGTATACCATTTGCTTTGAAGGAAAACCTATCATAGTTTTGTACTGTCTGGTGGAAAAAAATGTTTTTTTCTGTCTCTGAATGCAACAAGCATTCTGTAGATAGACAAGCTGAAGTATCATTTTTTACTATGTTTTTCTGGTTTTGCAGATCTGCTGTTCAAACCAGTATGCTCTATTATGCCAATCTACTTCCTCGTCAGTACGGCAGACAGCTGTAGTTAAATTACAAGGCTTTTGTGTTCTCCTCATCTCTCAGGTTTTATTTCATTTCTTCAAGCAGTGGACACATTCCTGCCAGTCTCTGTGCTTTTATTTAATTTGGGCAGAGCCTATATAAGACTGAACACATGGCTGAAAGCAGTGAAAGGAAGACCATAAAACGTACCATGTGTTCAGCCTCATTGGAACCAATCAATATTGTATTTTTTTGTCCCCGTCGCAACAAAGATCACACATTTTGGAGGTGTGTTAGCAGAGGCATACAGCCAAGCAACCAGTGACAAAGAGGACAACAAATAAAATCATCTTTTGAAGGATCCAGCATGTATAGAAGAGGTAAGCAAACTGGAATTTGGACCCTTCTTTCTTTGCTATGTATTTTTGAGGTGTGTTTTCAGGAGTAGGTATTTCTTTATATTCTACTGATGCTCATTTCTCTGAAGTAAAGCAATGATTATATTTCCCAATTAATTCTTTAAAGCATTATGTAATATAGTAAGATCTATTCCACAGAGAATTTTTTTTCAACACTTGCACCTAATGAAAACTTGACATTACTTTCAATGATCATAGAAAGTGCTGTTTTCCAAGAAATTCATAAAAACACAGAGCAGTAGTTACACCAAGTAGGCATGACAGGAATTCCACAGCAGATGCTGTTCACAGTTTAAAAGAATCCCATTCGTTGGAAGATATGTTGAACAAATTAACTCAAATTAGTGACCTTTAAAAAACTGTGTATTTTTTTAGACACATTTAGTATTATTGTTTTACCTCAAGGTAATGTAATAAATGGGATGAATTACACAATGTTTTGAAATGGTGTAGTTGTTTATAGTGATATTCATCTGATGATATCATGCCTTAATGCTTAAGATTGAGTCAATTCATGCAGAAGGTTTTTCTGCATACCCAGTAGATATATTTTCTTACCACTGTACAAACTGATGAAGAAATGCATGCTCTAAAGAGTTTATTAGTTCTACAAGTAGTCTATCATATGTTAGATTATGTTTATAGGCTTTAAAGTTATAAATTAGCCTAAGGATTTAGGTCTGGGTAACTGTAGGGAAAACAATAAAGTTAAAGAAATAAGTAAAACTCTATTAAATCCATGTCAGCAATAATCAGATGATATCCAATTAGATAATCCATCCTGTGGTCAGTGAAAACATGCTCACTCTTTTCTGAATTTGGATTATTTGCTCACTCAGCCCCCAAGGAATTGACCTCTGAGGTCACATGCTTTACAGCTCTGTTCAATAGTATTCTAAGTACAATTAACTTGACAGAAATACTAGGAGTGCACACATTCAGTTGAAGTTAATGAAATTGGCATGTTCCTCGTATTTTGAAAACCAAACTTTTGTTTTAGGAGTGAGAGCTTGCATGTGGTGGGCAATATTCTAGTTTTTCTACCACCCACTTGTACCCCTGATGTCTTTCAAATATAGTACTTTTCAGCTGTATAATAGTGTGTAAATGGTAGTACTATATTGATAGTAGGTGAAAAAATCTAGACAGATGTTGGATTTGAAGTTGACTTTCATTTTTCTGTAGTTCATTCTTATTGATGTACAAAGTCTCTTATCATTCCTGCAGTAGTTAACACATCAATACATATTTATTTTATATCATAATCTCTTCTTTAATATTGTAGGCTTTAAAATTGTTTGGTTGAAAACTTTAAAAGCTTTTCTTGGAGGAGTTCGTGTTATATGTACAACCAAAAAAAAAAAAAATGAAAAAACCACTCACTGAAACTGAAATTTCAGAAAGAAATCCATCATTTTGGATATTAACATAAACAGTTCCCCTTTCAAGTAGCGTTTCTACATATACATTTAATTATATTCATATACACAGGTATAAAGTAACTATCTTCTTAAATTAGTAGTATCTGAATATACAATCAATTATTTGCTTTTGTGAATTGTATGGGAAATGTAGTTAGTAGGATGATTCACAAAGTCTCAACAAAGACACTAGAGATGTGTAGCCATAAACGTTTGTCACTACTGCAAGAGCAGTATCAGATTATACTGGATAGATCACCCTTATTACCCCTAGCAATCAATTGACCGTGTAGTAGCTCTCTAGTTGGTTGTTTTGTTGTTGGCATCTTAACAGTATCTACTTTTAGATCTTGCATAAGTTTTATAAAAATGCATGAGAAAGTTTGACTAAATGACACTTTTTTAGGAAACATGTTTGTTTTCTTCAGTATTACATTTAGGGAATACCACTTTTTTAAGAACAAGTTTTAATATGTAAATTCTCAATTGCAGACAATTTTTCAATTCCCAAGCCATAAGCATCATGGAAAGTGGGGTTTTTTTTGGTTGTTTTTGTTTTATTTTACTTACTACTAGCATTTATACAGTGTCTATCCACTCACTGTCTCAGTAGCTGAATTGCTAGCACAGAGTCTTCATTATCCCAGAGAAGTCAGTGGGCATTTGTCTGACAGTGGATGAGGCAAGCTAAGCATTTCACTGTGTTTGATTTCCATCCTCTGCAGATTATTCCATCAGCTGCTGCTACTCAAGAGTTTGCTTCCCCCTCCTGTTCCCTCCATAATCTTTGTGGTACTTCTGGCAAAGACAAAGTGTCCTGCTCAGCAAAACACTTTAGAACCAACATAGTTTTGGATACCTGAGGTAAATATGTGAAAAATAAATGGGAAAATTAATATAAAACAATGAGGAGACTTCCTAGAAAACATGTGGAATGTTTCCTAGAAAGTGCAAGGTAAATTCCTGGAAAGCAGAAGAGAGATTTCCTAGAAAATGGAGTGGATTTCCTGGAAAGCATGAGAGTAGTTTCTGAAGACAAGTGGGGAGGGTTCCTGTGAAGTAGAGGTGAGATTTCTTAGTATGTATATGAAAAACTTCCTGGAAAGAAGTGAATAGAAAATTTCTGAGAAAGCAGAGGGAGGTCTACACAGCCAAGAGGAGTTTCCTAGAAAGCACATGGGAAATTCCTGGAAATTTGTAGGGGAATGCATAGAGATCAGAGGGGAGAATTATTAGAAAGCATTTGGGTAGTGGGAATTCATAGAAAGTAGGTGGGAAACTGGGAAGCTACAGAGGAATTTTCTAGGACACACAAGATGAACTCCTGGAAAGTAAGAACAGAATTCCTTGAAAGCAGAGGAGGAATTTCCTAGAAAGCACATGGGGGGGAAATACCTGCAGAGCAATGGGGAGATTTCCTGAAAAGGAAAGTGGGAATGCCTAGAAACTTGACAGGGTTTTCCTGGAAAGCACAGGGGAAATCCTCAAAAGCAGAAAGTAGAAAAAGGAGGAGAGCAGGTTGGGGCATGTGGGGGGAACACCTGCAAAGGTAGAAGACACCCAGGGAATTCCTAGAAAGCCAGAGAAGATATTCTAAAAAGCACACTTGAAATTCCTAAAAATCTGGGCTGTGAATTCCCAGAAAGCACACAAGCAAGTCTTATAAAGCAAAGGGGGAATTCCCAGAAATCATGTGCAAAGTTATGGCCATGTGGAAAATTTCCTAGGAAGCTGAAGGTTAATGCCTACAAAGAAGAGGGATGTTCCTGGAAAGCAGTGGAGTGCATTCCTCGAAAGAATGAGGTAAATTCCTACAAAGTACATTTTGGAGTGGGGATAGGCACTCCTAGAAAGCAGAAGGGGAATTTCCCAGAAAGCATGTGAGAATTTAATTGAAAATAAAAAGACTAATTCCTAGATAGCAATGATAGGATTCCAGGCAATGACAGGTGGTGGGGTGAGATCAAGATGGGTGGGGTGACTGAGACAGGTTGGGTGGAGGAGTCAGGGGTTCCACCTAACCCTGGCAGGGATCTGGGTACCAGTGGCATAATCATGGAGTGTTTGCTGTGGGTGCTGAACTCTGATCAACATGCTCTGCACACAGGCATTTGCACGGGTAAGCAATTTTCTGAACTTTGATCTTCTCACAAGTTAGAATTTATAAGTACTTTGTTTCTGAAGTCATACTGTACTCATGTTGCTGTTCTAAGTCAAAACCATACTAGCAGTTTTCTTTGTACACTGACCACAATGTGCTTAATATTTCAAAATTTCACCTTACCCATTACTCCTCTGGTTAGTAATTCTTGGTTAGTATGGCAATAGCTCATGGTGCTTTGCAAAGAGAAATACAAAACTCATATTGAACTCTACAAGTTGCCGATCTTAAAACTTCTGCCAAGCATGCATGAAGACTGCAACATATTCAGTAGAAAAATTTATAAGTATTTTTATTGAAAAATCAGATTGCTTCTTTGCTATTAAAAACATCTTTTAAACATTTGATTGCAAAGTTTAGTTTACTTTAATAGATACTAAATATATTATGTTTAAAGTTTTTTTAAAGCTGCAGTTATTTTTTTATGATTATCTGTTTCTTTATGAAATCTATCCTTTTGGAAGGAAACTGGGTCAATGCAACTTTGGGGTAGTAACTGAAGTAAAACACAGGCCTACTGGCAAAAAATGAACTGTCAGAAAAGTTAAGAAGAAAAAGGTGAATATGTAGATTGGTGGTTTTCTTTAAAATGTCCTTAACTTTCTTATGATCTGAAGATTCTTTTTTTTCCCTCCAATCTCTGTTTGAGCATCAAGATGTCATATTATGTTCAGAATTTCCCTTTTCATCTATGTAGATATTTATTCTCTTTTTTCAGGTATTATTTTGTGTCTTAGTCATTGCCCCTGTAGCAGAAACTAGAAGCAGCATAGGTTTTTATAATACTCAGACTCTATTGCCTAACAATGTAATTTAGGTTTCTTATTCCTCCATGAAAGAATAATTGAAAAAATGTTGTGTATTAGATTCCAAACTAACCAAATCTGATCAACGAATACGTACGATTGAAAGGTGTTTCTTTTTAAAATATTTATTTTAATTTTTAAAAATCAAGGTATAATTTAGGAACATACAGTGTTATATTCACAAGTCACTATGAATATAACAGTACAACTTTATGCCTAATATTTATTGGCTGCATAATGAATCCTGAAACCCACAACTTCCCAGGTGAAAATTCAGATACATTGTTTTCTTCCTCTTGATATTCTAAACTTTTCAAACTGTTAAAGTGGTAATAATAAATTATTTTAAGTTTTGGTTCATTTAACAGGTTCAAAAAAGACTGTAATTTGGTCATTGTTAGCACATGGCAGCTGTGTCAATATTGAGTAGTCTTTTTAATTTTTTTTCATAGGTACATGGTGTGTTTGGATAGTGTATGGTTGCATACAATCACAACAACTTTCACCATACTCAAACTTGAAGACTTACAGGACATTTCAAGGAATTCTGTATTTAAAACTGTAAAATATTAGGGGCCAAATTTACTAAATCAATGGAAGCAATCCTGAAATACACTAGGATTTACTTGGTAGTCATATTGCTGAATGCAAGACCTATTAATTTCTTTAATACATCCTATAGCTTTTTAAAAAATAAATTGCTGCTGTTGAAAAAAATAATATTGTGTTGTTTGTAAAATGTGTTTCCCATGAATAACTAAGGGTGGAAGTTCTGCCATGAAGGTACTTGAACAGGAGGTGAGCATCTTAGTGTGAACCATGATCATGTAACACATTTAGAAGAGATATTTGAGACACCAAAGGTAAGACTTCACTAATTGCTGTACTAGTGTTGGTAGACTGAAAAACAAACAAAAGAACCATCTCTATTCCATGGTAGGTCATCATATATCTTATTTAAAAATTTTGTCATTGACCAAAACATTGTGGAAATATTTATATTTTATTTTCCTCCAAATTCCTGCTAAGCCACTGTAGCCAGAAATATAAACTAGCAGTTCAACAGAAGACAAAAACAGTTTATGTCAAGGGTAATCCCTGACTAAGCCTGTTTTGTTTGCCAATCTCTTATAGGCAGAGACAAATACTAAGCCTAGCTTTTAATTTTTTTCTCATTCCAATTCTCATCTTTGCTCCCTCCCCTCCCCCCCCCCCCCCCCGCATTCTATTCATAACTATTGCAACAACAATGAAATACAGAAATATAGTCACCATAAAAATTTCAGGGTTGTTCCTTTCCTCTGTTTGTATGCTGTAGTACTCTATAAGGGAAGTGGTCCTCTTGTACGTCCATAGCGTTTCTAACAAGGGGAAACATCAGTCCATAAGCAGTCTTTTTGGTTTTTATAGATGTCTGTTGTTTCAGAAATTGTTATACAACCAAAGAATGGAGGAAATCTTGTTTTTGAGGTTAAATTACTACTGTTCTGTCTTTAACTTACTGTATTCCTTGTTGGCAAGATGCTATTGCTGAGCTGAACAGAAAATATCTCAGGACTTTATAATGACAGCACCACATTATAAATATTGCAGTAAAACATGCAAAATAGTATATGCTGTTAGCTCTAAGTGTATTTTTTTTTCTTGGGGTATTGAATCGGTCAGAAGTCTCATGTGAGTAACGTATTATAGTTTTCATTCCTACTTGCTGAAAAGTTGCATTTTATATTTTTTCAAATGTGGGTCGTTGCTTAGGCTTTCTGCAAAAGCCATTGATGATGCATTGAATGGAAGAGGCTTTAAACTAAATCCAGACTTAGTCCTTGTCTTGAAATCATAGTGTATTTATACATTTTTAAAATTATCTATGTTTTGAAAACTTGAGTTTGTTGTAGTAAACACTGGCAATATTTGTGGCAGGTCAGTTGTCTTTTGCCTTCTGTTCATAAAATACTAAGTAAATTGAGGTTCTAGGTCATCACTGCAGCTGGAGCACTGCTATTAATTATATATATTGTTATTACATTTAAAGAAACTAAAAGCAGAAATAACAAAAATCATTACATTCTCTCTTGGTTAATATTAGCAGATACAAGCAGTATCTTGCACTGGAGCTGTGTGAGGATGGAGAACTTTAAAAAATTCTTTGTAGTAAAGGACATTTTACAGAGAATGAGACAAGGCACATCATTCAGAGTCTTGCTTCAAGAGTAGCATATCTTCACAAAACCAGTAATTAAGTTCCTCTGTTTCTCCCATATGTGCATTGATTTCAAGTGTTCATACATTTAACAACAGTTACTGATTACTAATCTCTTATTTATTTCATATGAAAAAAATAGCTCAGTACAGAAAAAGTAAAATATACTACGTTAATGCTCTTTTATAACTTTATTTTTCTTACAGATGCAATAACTGCTACCATTTTTCTTTTATTTCTCTTTCTGTACCAGATATGAAAATAACATGTATTATTATTTCCTAACTTGCAACTGTTTCGCATTATAACATTAACTTAGTTTAGTTGTTAAGTGTATAGTCTATTACAGAAGGCAAAAAAGTAGAGGTGGATTGTTTCTGATACTTAATAGTATGTGTTGTACTTAGAATTCAGTAAACATCAGTGTTTTCATCCACCATATGGAAGCATTACAATTCTGCACAGCCCACAACAGAGTTAACCTATCCAGCCAAAAATTTAGAATTGGTAGATAGTGTAGGATTGTGACTAATTCTGGAGTTTTATACACAGAAATGATTAATCTCTCTGTTACAGCATACTACTTCTAAGAATCCTTCATTTACTTTTTTTTTTTTTTTTTTCCATAGAGATATATGGAGTTCTGGAATGGTGCCTATCTTAGACCCTTGTTTCTTTTGTGTACTTATTGAAAAGTCAAAAACTTCTACTGGTTTTGGATATGAAAATGAACTGCAGATATTGAAAATACATGCAAATTTGATAATTATACAATATAAACCCTACTTTTTTGTTACATGATGTCAGGTGATCTACTGACATTAAAGACTGAACCAATGTGAACTTTTTCCTTTATTACAGGATTGTGGGTAGGAATGAGATTTGAAAATTTGAAATACTTATATGACTCCCTGGATGAAATGAGAAAGATGCTTTTGGTTAGGCTTTCAGTAGTTCAGAGTGAAATGCACTGGAGCTGCTCAAAGAAATTACTCAACTGAAAGAGTTTAAAACATTTCTGTCAAAATATCTTCACTGTAACTGATAACATTTTATTTCTTACACTATCTTGGCAGATATTGTTCACAGATATCTAAAACTGGAAAACATTTTAGTTAAAAGCAGTGACATCGATTAAGCAAATGAAATGAAATTAAACATAAAGGTAAAATGACAATTGTAGCAGTTCTGCTTCAAGAACTGGTTCTAATATCCAGATATTGCTGGGAGACCTGACTTTGAAACTATTAGCGGCTTTTGAAATGAGCTAGTAAATGGTGTTGTTAGGGGAAAAAAAAAATCATTTTGGAAGCTAAGTGGCAAAAAAAAAAAAAAAGTAAGTATATTTCTGGGTCAGTTAAAAAAAAACATTCCTTAAAGTAACCCTACCTTGTTCATCTAGATATACATTAGCATAGTCCTGAGCCATTAGTTACAGGAGCCAGCAGGTGCTATGAGATGGAATTAATTTGTAAATTAGGAATATTGTCAATTTAATGTAAATCTGTTAGTAATTTAAGAAAAAAGCCTATTTAAATGTGCCTTGATTGAAATACAAATATATTATAGTATTCTTTTGTTATTAATAAATATTTACTACCTAAACACAATGTGCCATATGCTTCCATCTTCTTTTTATTGAAAAAAAAGTCTTTGATGGTTAATAAATCATATGCTAATTAGCTTTTGCTGATTTGCTGTTTCAGTAGTAGTTACTGTGAAAATGTAGGCATATTCTAAAATAACCTTGCAGAACTGATTTATTGGATCACGAATGTACTATCTGGGGTAAAAACCTCCATGTTGAGAAGCGTTTCAGATAATGAAGAGTGTGGACAACTCAGTAATTTATGGTGGGAGAAATCCAGGGTGCAGAAATCTGTTTGCTATGTTTCTTATAGCCTATGTATTTTTATATAATATTATACCCATTTTAAGAAGCATAATTTTGGACTTGCCTGTATTATTCAGTTTGAGATGTGCTGCAGGAACTTTTAGGAGTCTCCAGCTAAACAATGAGATTAAATTCTAAACCCATTTTCTCTTAGAAAATTTCCATCCAAACAATGCGTCTATCACAGTGTATGACACTGATTATTATTTGATGTTGAAATGGAAGCTGGAAAAAAAACCACAAAACCAGGTAATTATGACATAACCTGTCCAAAGGGCATGCTTTTCAAGGTTTTTTCTTTGCCTATTTAGGCAATGATTACTTTGCATTCCATAATACAAAGATTTGTACCCCTTTCTGATTTATATATACTGCATGTTATAATACACTTCATTATCCAATATAGCATTAATTTTTAAATTCTGTGAGGTTCTTTTCCTCAATGATATATACCAGCAATGCATTTCACATCCTACTTATAACAAACTGAAGCAAAAAATAAATCCTTTTTGGAGGAAGATAATTAGTCCTTCTGACATTTTGATAGATGAAATACTAGTAGTATTAAATACTTCCTTAAGTGAGAGGGTTGCATGGGATGAAATTACTTTCCAATTTACTGATCATGACAGAAACATAGAGTCTCAACACTGGAAGGGACCTCGAGTCATTCGATTTATTTCTATGTCCAAAGAAAGAAGCAGCTATACTTAAGTCATTTCTGATGAATATTTGTGTGAAGTGTACTTAAAGACCTCCAGTAATGGAGACGCTATAATCTTCCCAGGCACTCTATTCTGATGCTTTATTATCCTCCTAGAAATTTTTCCTCCTGTCTGCCCTGAACCTTCAGTTTGACAATCAGCTTAAGTTTATACCTACAGGCCATGATCTAATCACTTTTTTCATTATAAATTTTCAGTTAACTCACCTGCAGCTGCATAGTTTCTAGAGCTGACCTAAGGGAGGTGGTGGGAGCCTATGTGTGGGGCTAAGGAAAAGGGTGAAACTCTGTTGCATATTTTCAGGCTATTGTTTCTCGCTCTATCCATCATGGATATGAAGAAAAGGTAGCCACCTTTCTATTTTCAGCAATCTGGTATTACACTTCTCCCTTGGTCCCTTGTTCTTTAAACAGGAGGAATTTCTCAGTCCTGTCCTGCATTTCCAATATTCGTGATTGACTTGCCACGCTCCGTTTGGTACCTGTTATGTCAAAACAGGAGTATCCAAAACTGAGCACAATATCTAGTTGAAGCCTCACTGGTGCTGGGCTGAGTGGAAGGATTGTTTTGTATGTAATGCAGACCTTAGGCTTGTGTATAAAACACAGGTGATTACTGTGATTTTGTAATTTATTTAAGGACTCTGAAGTCCACATAAAAGAACAAGAGGTAAGGGCTGGAAATCAGGCCATTGGCCCATTTTTCACCTGACATATTTAAATAGGCTTCTAACCCAGGCAAGGGGAGGAGGGTTTGCCTTGGCCTCCTCAGAAAAGGCACATTTGTGCAAAGAGATTTTGTACCAGAGTGGCAATTTTACGCTACTCCTGCCTTGCAGAGGCATTGTCCAGTAACACTGGAACAGTTAACTCATGGTCAGCTTGTGATTTACCACAGTCCTTGAGCTGCTGCCTGACCAGCTCTTCTCCTCGTGTTTTCATTCTGAGCTTGTCTTTCGATACCCTTACAGTCATTCCTGGCTTGATGTTGTCTTCAGATTTAATAAGCATGTTCTCTCTTGGATCATCCAGGTCATCAATTATAATGGTGTAATGCCTAAAACAGACACCTACAAAACACTCCTTGATGCAGCCTTCCACTTTGACAATGAACAAGTTACAAGTATTTTCTGCAAAGTGTTTTTTATAAGCAAGTGTGCATTATTCCTGTGATACTTTAATGTACACATTATTATGAAAAATGTTACGTGAAACTATCAAAATCCTTATTAAGATAGAGATATGTGATATTTAGTGTTCCTCCTCTAACAGTGAAACCTGTCAATCTGTGCTGCATGGAGATTTGCTCCTGACAGGTGCATAGTGGCTGCTACTTACCTCTTTTTTTCCTTCTAGGTGCTTATTATTTCCATTATTTTCCTGGGAAATAAAATTAATGGGACGCATCTGTAATTCTTCAATGCCAGCTTTTCCACCCTCTTATGGAGAGATACCACGATTGCCTTTTTCAGTTTTCAGGTATTTCACCTGCCTTCCACTCATAGTTCTTGAACCACTAATAGCTCTGAAAAGTCTTGTCAGTTTTTAAAGTATTCTAGAATGAATTTTATCAGTCACAGATGATTTTAAAATTTCCAGCCTAAGTACTTGCTAACCTTTTGCTTCTCTGTAAAAAGCTGAGGTCTTGCCCCTTTGTCATTGATATTGATTGTGCTATCCACTGCTTGCAGTTGACATTTTGGTTAAGATTGATGTAAGAAGACATTAAATACATTTGCCTTCTGAGCATCATCTATCAGTTGCATTCTTGCTTGAATACAATACCAGTCTCTTTATTCATTGTCTTCCTACTACTCATATACTTATAAATTATTTCATTTTTAGTTACATCCTTTACTAGTTGCTCCTCATTTTTTCTTTCCGATTTTGCCTGTCTATGCTTATCTTTTTATTTTGTTCTTATTTCCATCTTTTGTATGCTCTCTTCTTTCATGTGAGACTTGTGGAAATTAATGATTTAACCAGACTGGCTTATTAATTTAAAAAAAAAAAAAAAAAAGTAATAGCAATTTCCTGATTCCGTCATTTTATTTTGTGTAGGCTATGCATATAAGGATATAAACTTATATAAGTTTTTAAATTTTCCCCGGATGTTAATAGCATGAATTACTGCTTGTTTAAAATGTTCTCAATGATCAATTAAAAATGAGATGATACTGTATATTTTGTCCAGTTTGGCAATATTAATGTTAAGAATTTCCTTTAAAGTCTTGTTTTAACAGCTGTGGTATTATCAAACCATTAAGTTAACCATTTTAAGTTCCTTGACATAATAATTAAATATCTGATACCTACCTAAAACATAAAAAACTGAGATGACAGTTAAACAAGCTTTTTGATTTGGTGAGGTATCACCAAATAAAATAGTTTCTGTCAATGTCCTCTTCTACTGTGTGTAGGTTTTTATCTTCTGTTCCTTACTGGGGCTAAGTATGTCACCTCCATTGATTCTGGAAGTGAAAGTCATAGAACTTGCTGTGAACTCACAACCACATCTCCCATGATATTGTAGATAAAATATCTCTAAGTTGGCCCCAAAGGAGCATCTTTCTTACATGTGACTCAAATAATATAAAGTTATTAGTGAATAGGTTACAATTTGTGAATTTTTAATCTAGGATATAAATAAATAGGTTTGAAAATTTTAATTTTAGAGTATTTTGGCATTGAATTTGTTTATCATATGTATTCAAGCTAATACGTGCAAACAGAGGCTCTTTTTTTTTAGCAAAACCTGTGTTCTTATGTACTAGACTTATATCTGGGAGAAAAAAAAAGTTTGTATGGTGTCTTGCAGTACTATAAGTCAGTGTGTTATGAATACTGTTTTAATAACTTCTTGTGGGGAAAAAGAATGCTAAGTTTAATAATATAGCTAATATCACAATGTCACCACCCCCTTAACAGCTAAATGATAAAAGTGAGGACACATCAGCATGAATTGTTAAGGTCTGTACATTATTCATTTAAACATCTGCTGTTGGTTCCTCTTTACATGTGGGAATTAATTATACCACATCAGCACATTCTTCATGCTTTGTGTTTAAGCATTTAAAAGTTTTGGTTTTTTTTTTTCTATTATTAATACTATTTTTTCTGCTTGGTTGGCAGCCCCTGAAGTTATCAGTGCCTATGAGTACAGCCAACAGTGTGACATTTGGAGCATAGGTGTCATTATGTACATGCTGTAAGTAGCTTGTAAAAGTAATATAAAATGTACAGACCCATTTATAATACAAGTACTTACAATTTTGCACTGAAATAAAAAAAAACCCTTATGTGCTAAACCTTTACAAAAGATTGAACTCTTACAATTGCTTGTATGTAAACATTACAAATTTCTGTGCAAAATAAAGTAAAAGATACAGTTCAGTGTTAAAAATTGAGTATTTGACTTACGAACCACTTTGTAATCCTGAAACATCAGAATATTGCAGTGAAATACTGTAAAACTAAACTGGGAGTTCAGGCCTCTCTTTTTCATATGTTGGCTGAATCTATATATGAGAACAGAATTATTGATTTACAGTTTATTCGTCAAATCCTCAAATGAATTGCTCAAACCATCAGGGTAAGGGTTTTCCTTCCCCCTCGCTGCCTGTGGTAACTCTGCAACTAAGATGCTCAAGTGCTGCCAGGTCTCCCTGTACATGCTGACTGTTCTTTGAAAGTTGATTAGTCTGCTATTATTAGAAGAAGAAATGAAATTTTACATGTGTAAGAGTACATGCATATCTTTATTGAAGTTTTTTCATCATTTATAACATTTGTCTTAATTACAAAATAATAATTAGTCTCTAAAAAGTCTTATCCTGCCTTTATTATCTAAATAACACAAAAAGGTATCCCAGTAATTGAAAATAAACTGTAGCACAGTACATAAATTACTGTTCATATGATGTAACTAAAATGTCACGTTATATGCAGGGACTTTTTTTCTTTCATAGTGTATTTGCATGTTTTTTTTCCCCACCTTCAGTCTTTTTTCTTCTCTCAGTTGTCTTCAGATGATGCTTTAATGCCAGTGATTTAGAACATTGCCATTTGCCATTTTATTTGTTGTTATTATTTCTATCCTGTGATCCTTCTACTCTTTTTGCATACTGCTGAGTTCTTTTATAACTTAAGATTTTGTACATGAGCATGCAGGCACAGGCATGCTGTTTCATGAACTCCTCTTTTCTGGATTTTCTTTGTTTGGTTTTTCTTTTCACTTTGTTTTGGTTCCTCAGTTTATTTTCTATACGATTAGCTTGCTTTTCTTCTTGTGTCAGTATGATGAAGTGTTCATAGCTTTATTGCCTTTATTTATTTATTTTTAATTTATAAAATACATGTGTACTTTTTATGCTGATGCAGAATGGGTTTTATTGTTGTACTTCATGATAATAATGTTTGCATCACAGTAGTAGGATTTGCACAACATAATACAATAGAATATATTATAAAATTGTTGGTAGAAATGGGATGGTTTGACTGGCTAATAAGAATCCAGAGCAGCACAATTCACAGCTAGAACTTGTAAAATTCAAAGCAGTGAACTGTGTTGATTGCAGCCAGAGCTTAGAACTTCTGACCTTCTTCCTTAATTAGCAATATAAATATTTTTTAAAATTAGCATTTTGTAATCACAACAGTGTCAGAACAAAATAACATTAATTCACCCCTTGTTGTGTTGACTGCACAAGAATGAAAATACCGTGTATATATTAATAGAATACAATTCACACTCCTTTTTATTGCTTAATTTGAAAATAGCAATACAAAAGCCATAAGATCATCATCTGATTTTAATTCTGGTTTTGCAAATTACTTTTCTTCCCACCCTGAATAATAGCTTGTGCTCCTGGTGCTCCTCTAATGGCCTTAAAGATACTGTTACAGCCATTATTGCTGCCATCACAGCTTTGACCCTTCTAGGCCACAGCTAATGCCTCCCTGGTAATTTGCTAGCTGCCAGAGCTCTTTTTGCAGTGTAGATGGCATGCTCCATCTTGGTACCAAGGGTATTATTGCCACGACAGACTCAGTCTCTACCTATATGGGGAGCATAAGCCCTGAGGTGACTCATGAACTCTGTTTTCATGAATGTTAATGCACAGGGTTGCCTCTGCATAATGGGGCAATGCCGGTGTGATGGATTTCTATATGTAATTTACACTGAGGTGTACTTTATACTTTCCATTTCATTTCTATTTTAACATACACTAATAGAAGCATACACGATAGTAACCAACAAAAAGAAAATCCATTAAAATACAGAAGTATGTCAGCACATTGAAAGAGTAGTGCCGCCTGTCACACGCAGAGTATGGCCCATACGCTGCTCCCTTATAGGAAAGGGTCGGGGGCTTCTCTTTCCTGTGCAATCTATGCTATTGGATTTCTTGCTCATTCTTCCAAGTGTGCTCAGAGACTCTGGTCTCTGCAATAGTTCTCAGGAACCTTTGTGCAACTAAAGAACTCTAGGATGCCTAATACATTACTTCCCACATTCCAGCAGTAAGAAACCTATTAAGAAAAATGTGGTACTTTTTGCTCCTTTCTAAAGGCACAGAAAATTTCTTCACAGATTTTCAAGGTTCCATGCGATACGTTTCACCTATTTAACTTAATTTCTTTAGCTGAAGTTATCTGTTGTCTGCCACTGCCTTACTCTGGAGAGAATTTAGTCCTACCTGTGCATAACAGAATAATAGGCATTGTTACCAGCCAATACTTACAGTATCATGTCCTGAAATGAATGCATTCTTCCCATTTTCTGTCTTTTAAATTGAGCTCCATGTGGATTTAAGTCCCGAGGGAGACTGGGAAGGAGAACTGGAGGATAAAAGAAAACAACAATTTTTGTTGAAGACATTTTGAGATTAAAAGTTTTGGGGAAAATGTACTAAAATATTAATTTTACCTTAAAATTAAAAATTAAAGCCATGTGAATGAAACTCCAGAGTATTTTGCTTTGATATAAAGTGACAGGCATCCCTCACTAGGATGTGACAATTACATTTTCAGTCACTACTTCTGTGTTTTGGGAGTAGAACAAAAAACATAACTTAATGCAAATAATTTATTTGATGAAGTTAGCTTCTTTTTTGTTTTAAAAAGCCACAAATATGTGTATTAATTTATTGAAAGTATTTGCTATAATTTTTGCATGTCAGTTGTGCATGACTAGTATGATGTAAAATCTATTAGAAATTTAATCTGTCTTTATTAGTTTTGATTGAAAACACAGATCACATGATATGGTTTTTCATTCGTTATGTGATTAGAACACAGATCAATATTTACTTTCAAAGTATATTCTCTAATAAACATTTACAGTTGATAATTCCAGTTAATACTTCTGTTGGCAAACAGTAGTAGTCAAAGAAACCAAATACAAAGCAAGTTTAAACAGTGGGTTTGATATTAACACATTTTTTTTTAGGAATGTATTTGGTTTAGTTTCATATGTATTACCTTTTTTTATTGTTACCACATCGTTAAGAATACAACTCGCGTAAAGGAAGCAGATGATACAGAAAGAGTAAACTGAATTTACAGACATTCAGATACCACATTTACTCAAATATTTTACTCAAAATAACAAGAAATAGAATGCAGGACAAGAATGCAGCCAATGCGTATTTTTATGAACCTCTGTATTGTTGATATGTACACCTATGGATATGTCTTAAATTTTTTCTGAGGCTTCTCATATATTTGCTTTTTTATTATCCTATATCTACTGATACCTTAGTTTAGATGAGGCCAAATAAAGCAGTGTTCACACTATGTAGCTAAAAGAGATAAAGCTTGACACCAGAACAAAAAGTGAAAAATTAAAAATTATGTTTTGTTTTGTCATAGTATTTTCTGTTTTACGTTTTTGTTCTGAAAATTACATGTTTTGTAGCAGTAAAGATATTAACATACTTCTATATTTTTCTGTGAACCACACATGCTTTAATTTACTGTTATTCAATGAAGGAATAGCACCTTAGACTCAGAATTTAGCATATTTCATAGACTGTAAGAATTTGGAACTGAGTATATCACATTTTGAAGAGTACGCATCTTTAGGGACACAAGCAACCACTATGCATGAATAAACTGACTTCTTATATGAAATAAGGGTACAGAATAAAATGTATCTAGTAATTCTTATACTGAGTCAATGACGTGTGTTAGACCCAGACCCCATTTTTCAGACAGACAGCTGATTGGGACTTCAGTGCCTAAACTGAGAGTGGTCTGTATTGTCTTGTTGCTGTTATTTCAGTTCTTGTGATTGTTATTAACTCAGTGGAGTTTTAGCTCACTGGTCTAAAACCAGTGGGACATGAATTAATGATGATTCTTATTACTGAAATGTAGTGGTTGCTAGGACAGAATTGTTGAATTGTTTAATGGAAAATGTTACTTTGATGTGAAATCAAAAGAAATGGTAAGTATAAAGTGTTTGCAGTAAACAAAACTCCTGTGGTAGAAATACTGCACATGGTGGCAACAGGTTAGCTTTCTGTTAGCCACCTGATTTGGATGAGTGAGTTACAGAATAGCAAAATACTATGTTTTCAGTTTAATTTTTTCTAGCTTCTACTTCAGTTGTATCTTGTTAAACCTTTGGCTGCTACTTTAAAAGTCCATATAATATCAATTATCTTTTCCTTATGTGGATACCTAGTGACCGAGGTAGATCACTAGGTATCAAAATCACCTTTTAACCTCATAACCTTTTTACTTTAAATCTCTCTGAGACACATTTTTCAGAACTTGAGTCACTTCTGTAGAGTTCTTCTGAAGCTTTCCCAGTCTTGCGAACTATTTGATTTCACAGTGATCCCATAATACATAGTTTTTACCTCATCAGTGAAAAATACTGGGTATCTGTTCACTGAGCCTAATTTTCTTACATTTTTTATAGCAAGCTTAGAAGGAAAGCTTTTTGAATTAATAATAAAGGGAGACCTGTGCTTTAAAAATTTAGTTTGGGAAACAGTTAGTGAGACTGATAAGTACACAATGCCCTCACAAAATAAATGCTGACCATATTGCAATGAATTCCATAAATGCAGTAGTTTTGATCTTTTTTTTTTCTTTAAGTAGTATGCATTTTCTGAAAAGCAAAATTGATGTTAAAAAGTAAATTGACATAAATGATATAATGAACTAAATTAATAGCATTGTAAGTAAAATATTTTCTGTT